CCCCCCCCGAGCCGGGAACTCAAGCTGCGTGTTCCCCTGCGTTGTGGCTGGGTGGCCGCGTCCGCGCGCTAGCCATGAGGATTCGGATGGTCGTGAGGAAGACCTGGGTAGGAAAGAGCTGCCTCCTGCTGGCGCTTTTAGCAGTGGCCTATGTCCTTGTGGAGTTCTCGGTCTCCACTTTCCATGCCTCCCCAGGAGCCGGCCATACCAGGGAGCGGGTCTCAAGACGGCTCTCAGACCTGGAGAAAAATTCAGAGGATTTGTCTCGACCACTTTATGAGAAGCCCCCTGCAGATTCCCATGCACTTGGGGAGTGGGGGAAAGCCAGCAAACTCCAGCTCAACGAGGGTGAACGGAAGCAGCAAGAAGAACTCATTGAGAGATATGCCATCAATATTTACCTTAGTGACAGGATTTCTCTGCACCGCCACATAGAGGATAAAAGAATGTATGAGTGTAAGTCCAAGAAATTCAACTATAGGAGACTTCCCACCACCTCTGTTATCATTGCTTTCTATAATGAAGCATGGTCGACTTTACTGCGCACCATTCACAGTGTTTTAGAAACTTCTCCTGCAGTCCTCTTGAAGGAGATCATCTTGGTGGATGACTTGAGTGACAGAGTTTATTTGAAGACACAACTTGAAACTTATATCAGCAATCTTGATAGAGTCCGCTTGATTAGAACCAATAAGCGTGAGGGGCTGGTTAGGGCCCGCCTGATTGGGGCCACTTTTGCCACTGGTGATGTCCTCACTTTCTTGGATTGTCACTGTGAGTGTAATTCTGGTTGGCTGGAACCACTTTTGGAAAGGATCAGCAGAGATGAAACAGCAATTGTTTGTCCTGTTATAGATACCATTGATTGGAATACTTTTGAATTCTATATGCAGACGGGGGAGCCCATGATTGGTGGATTTGACTGGCGTTTAACATTCCAGTGGCATTCTGTCCCCAAACATGAAAGAGACAGGCGGGAATCGAGAATTGACCCCATCAGATCACCCACCATGGCTGGAGGATTGTTTGCTGTCAGCAAGAAATATTTTCAGTACCTTGGAACATATGATACTGGAATGGAAGTGTGGGGAGGTGAAAATCTCGAGTTGTCTTTTAGGGTGTGGCAGTGTGGTGGTAAATTGGAGATCCACCCATGTTCCCATGTGGGCCATGTATTCCCCATGCGGGCACCGTATGCTCGCCCCAATTTCCTACAGAATACTGCTCGGGCAGCAGAAGTGTGGATGGATGGGTACAAAGAGCATTTCTACAATCGAAACCCTCCAGCAAGGAAAGAAGTGTACGGTGATATTTCTGAAAGAAAATTACTACGAGAACGGCTGAGATGCAAGAATTTCGACTGGTATTTGAAAAATGTGTTTTCCAATTTACATGTTCCAGAGGATAGGCCAGGCTGGCATGGGGCTATTCGCAGTATGGGGATCTCTTCTGAATGTTTAGATTATAATTCTCCTGACAACAACCCCACAGGTGCTAACCTTTCACTGTTTGGATGCCATGGTCAAGGAGGCAATCAATTCTTTGAATATACTTCAAACAAAGAAATAAGGTTTAATTCTGTGACAGAGTTATGTGCGGAGGTTCCTGAGCAAAAAAATTATATAGGAATGCAAAATTGTCCTAAAGATGGGCTCCCTGTTCCAGTAAACATAATTTGGCATTTTAAAGAAGATGGAACCATTTTTCATCCACACTCAGGACTATGTCTTAGTGCTTATCGGACACCCGAGGGCCGACCTAATGTCCAAATGAAAACTTGTGATGCTCTAGATAAAAATCAAATCTGGAGGTTTGAGAAATAGTAGAGTACAACAGCACTTTCATCATAAGCTGACAATAGCTTCAGTAAAAGTCAAAGAGCCTCAGAGAAGATTGTATTTTATCAGAAGTCACCCACAGTCATCTGTGAGAGCACTCTGAAGCTGTGGTTCATTTTGGTATATTACACTGAAACTGGGTGCACAGAGTACTACTGTTTAATATTTCAAAGTGCCTTATGGGTTGTTTTATTTAAAAGCTTTGTCAATATGGTCTCTTACTTCTTCTTAAAGAAGTTGACTGAATTGAGATACAAGACATTTAAGTGCCAGACTTAATATTAAAGAATGTGAAAGTCCAAGTAAAATGAGGTATGATTTGTGTTGATGGGTAAGTTTACTGCACATCCTATTTTTTTAAACAAAACTCATAAATGTGCAGTGTGACCTATTGCTATTTTGATTACATAGAATTTGAACTTTTTTATCCAGCTCATTAAATTTTAGGTTTTATTTATTTTTCAATCTAATTTTCCTTTACTCGAATAGAAATCAAAGAAAGTTGATCTTGGGGAGAGAGGCCTAGTTTTGATATATGTGTCGTTGGAAGAGGGCATTAGTTTGAATTTGAGTTTGGAGATCTTTTCGACATACAGACTTCTCAAAAAACTATACCCATGTCTTAGTGACATGGGGAGATATTTACATTCCACACTTTGTAAACTTGAACTATTGGACTTAACTGATTTATATATTGATACCTCACATTGCTCTGTTTTTGTAAGCTGTCCTCTCTGTGAACTTGTTTGTGTGTGTAGGGCATTTTCTCATTGCACTTCCTTAAGTTATGAATGTACTAGAAAGGGACCCATTCGGAATACTGTGCCTCCCTTTGTTAGTGCTTAATCATTTAAAGTAAACACAATTGAGGCCTCTCTGAAGTTTAACCCAACTGTGTTTATTGAAATGTGTGAAACTGAAAGTGGGCCAGGTTCTACAAAGGCTGTGGAACTCTTCTACGAGCTCTTGCTGATCAGGAAATTTAAGGCTTTATCTTAAGAATAGAAGGAAGAAAAAGACTGCCTCGGCAATTGTGAATGCTGCCTTCTAGCTGGTTTTCAACACCCTGAGCACCCATCTTGGCCCTTAGGCAGCTTTGAGTAAGTGGGTGAATGAATGACTGAATGAGTGAATGGCTCAGCCAAGGAATGTAACTTTGCTCAAGTCACTTGATGTGTTTGCTCCTCAGTTTCCTCATCTGTAAAATGTGGATGCTGGATTAGATCTTGAAGATCCTTCCAGCTCAGAAATTTTGATTGTACGTTATACCCTTCTCAGATTCAGTCACTGTGCAATCGTAGCACTTTTTTTTTTAATCTCTTCATTTTTAACATAGAAAATGTTGTTGAGCAGCTGAGCAATGTTCAGTCCAGTTGTGAAGCTGCAGAAAGAGAAATAGTTTAAAAATTAAGTGAGCTGAGCTCACCTGAAGTGGTTTATGTCTATGGGTGGAAAGTTGTTTAGTCACTGTTTGTAATCATTTATTTTGACAATTGTTGAACCAATTTTGTTTTAAAAACTTTTAGACTCTAAAAGTAATCTTTTGACTAAAAATATAAATATTTTCCAAACTAAATTATTTGAGAAGTAAACATACTTTTTTTAAAAAAGTATTTTTTCTGGTCTTATACCAACGTTATATCCTGAAATCAAAGGCTGAATTTAGAGTTAAATCTCGTTAGTTCACTTTGGTGTAGATTTATGAAAAATGCATATTCCAGGAAGAATTAATCCACATTATTTATAAGTAAAGTTGTTTTCAGTATTTACTTGTGACTGGGAGAGGAGGAACTTTGCAAAATCTGAACTTCATAAAATTATTTAGAATAACCATTTAAAAAATAAATTGCTATGTAATCTTAAATATTTTGTTTCTCTTTTGCCTCTTAAAATGAAAATGTCTTAATAGTTTCTGTAAGTTACCCAGCAACCTTAATGTTTATCAGAGAATCATCCAGATTCCATGTGCAGTGTGTTTGGCCCTGGGTTTAATTTAAGAAGGATTTATAATAATGCCCTGAATTTTTCAAAAGAGATCCTCCTAAACCCACCCTCTCCCCTTGCACAGTCGGCTTTAAAAAATTCTTTTTCTATTTTTTACTTTTCTCTTTTTATTTATTTTTTGTTGTTCTTGTTAGCCCCCTATCATATGGGAGAACTAAAATTAAAATATTCTGGAAGAACTTACTGGAATTATTTTTATTTTAGTATACTGATACTCCTATCAAAAGGGAAAAGAGGCCTTTAGAAGTAGAATACTTAAATTATTTATTTACCTTTGCCCTGAATTGCTGGGTGTGACCCAGCAATCTTTTTGGAAGACATTTTAGGCTGGAACTTTATTTATATCAATAATTCAGAATAGTTAGGCTGTTTATTCTTCACAATATGTACATAACAGAAAAGCAAGACTTTCACATATACACTTTTCATATACAGGCATGTTCCAATTAAATTCCCAAAACACATTGTAATGATACATACTAAATGTATTTTGGTTCTGTAATTCTAATTTATTGGTACCAAAGCTGTCTTTTGCTGTAGGCAATTAAGAGTTGACCTTTTAGAGCCAGCCCGGTGGCGCACTGCTACAGTGCGCCGCTTGGGAGCGCGGCGGCGCTCCCGCCGAGGGTTCGGATCCCACATACAGACCAGTTCCCGCTCACTGGCTGAGTGAGGTGCCGGCGCGACGCCGAGGGTTGCAATCCCGTTGCCGGTCCCGGTCCGGTGCGGGCACGACACTGAGGGTTGCGATCCATTGCCGGACACGAAAAAAGACAAAAAAAAAAAAGAGTTGACCTTTTAGGTTAATTTACGTGCTTAATAACAGTTTTAGCAAAATATTTGGTGGGCAAGGAGATTCAGCTTTAAATGTTCACTATGTCATTTAGTGTCCAGTTCTGTGAATACATTGACTTTCTAATAGGGATTTTTGGCATCCATTTTTTTAAAAATGATAGTCTAATCATTGGAAGGACCTCTATAACTCCGAATAATTTGTTGTGCCAGGCTTTTATCACTGTCCTAGGCTGGGCTGGGAGAGATATCTTCTGCAGGCCAGTGGTGTCCTTGGCTGTCTGGTTACCATTCTAACCCATTTATTTGCACTTGTCAAATCCCGTTCAAAAGAGGAAGGGGAAATACTCCTTTATTAGTACTCCTTTATTTAATGCCACTGTGTGCCAGACGCTGTCCTATCCTCTGAGTACAGATGGGAGCAAAACAGATGTGCTTCATAAGATGGTATAAAGAGTTCACAGTCTGGTGGTGGAGACAAATATTACCAAGCAAACATACAAATCCATGTGTAAGTACAACTTGATGATACAAAAGAAAATAGTCAAATATTGTGAAGGAAAGGAACAGGATGTTTGAGGAATTATAACAGTGAGACATACTTAAATTTACGGGGTCAAGGAATATTTCTCTGCTGAAGTCAGATTTAACTGAAGCCCTGAAGGAGGAGTTAGCTAGGTAAAGAATAACCATTTAAAAAAATATTAGCTAGGTAAAGATTAGAGAATAACATAGGCAAAGACCTAGGGTCGGAAAGAGCATGTCCTAAATCAAGGAAGTAAAAGAATGCCATAATGGGTAGAGCCTGGTAGACTAAGGAAGGTAGGGAAAGATGAAGTTGTAGGGGGAGGCAGAGGCAGGTTGGGCAGAGCCTTGGAAGGTACCATGGGTTAAGTGGTGGCCCTGCAAAAGATGCACGCATGTCCTAATCCCTGGAACCTGTAATATGACTTATTTGGAAAAAAGGTCTTTGTAGGTGTAATTAAGGATCTGTAGATGAGATCACCCTGAATTAACTGTGTGGGCCCCTAAATCCATTGATGAGTGTCCTTATAAGAGGAAGCCATGTGAAGCCAGAGGCAGAGATTGGAGTGATGCAGCCACAAGCCAAGGAGCTGCCTAGAGGCACCAGAAGCTGGAAGAGGGAAGAAATGGGATCTCCTACAGAGCCTTTGGAGGGAGTGTGGCCCTGCCAACACCTTGATCTTGGACTTCTGCTTCCAGAACTGTGAGAGAATAAACTTCCATTGTTTTATGCCTCCAAGTTTGTGTTAATTTGTTATGGCAGCCACAGGAAATTAAGTTTTTAGAATTTTGTTCTGAGATTTGTGGAAATTGTTCAAGGGTTTTAAGTAAGGGAATGACATGATCTGATTTATATCTTAAAAAGATCACTCTGGCTACTATGTGGAGATTGTACTATGCATGGAAACATTTAGGAGCTACTGTAGTAATACTAGCAGGAGATAATGGTGGTTCAAACTAGAATGGTGATCTTCAAACTAGAGTGGTGGTCTGGGTAAGAGAGAAATTTGGGAGTTATTAGCATATTGATGGTATTTAAAGTCATGAGAATGGTTGAAATCACCTGGGAAGAATATAGAACAATGAGAGCAAATGGCCTGTGTCTGAGTCCTGAAGATCTCCAACCTTTTAAATCAGACAAGAAGATAACAAAAGAATCTGAGAAGGAATAGTCAGAAAGATAGGAGGGCAAGCTGTTACAGTGGGGTATCATGAAAGCCAGGATCTGGAGTGGAATAGAAATGTTGGAGGGAGCAGATGTTAAGTAGTAATTAGAGAGAGTGGGGGAGGGCACTAATAGAGAATTATGCACTACTTTGCTGTGTAGAAGGCCCATGTGAAATTAGTGATCATGAATTTCTAGTGTTTCTGGAGGGGTGTCCAGCAATTCTCACTGGCACAGATGTAGTCTCAGAAAAGACAGAGTGATTGGGATTTTGCCAGGGGAATTTGAAGGAAGGAGGGAGAGCCAAGGGATTGAATGTATGTGTAAGGGAGGGGAGAGATGAAGACTGAGGAGAGAGTCTCGGTGGAGAACAGAGGTCAGTGGATTGGAGTTCTGGATGAGGTGGAAGCTGCTGAGCAAGTGAGCAATAAGGAAAAAACGTTTCCATGGTGGGTTTCAATTAGTGATTTGGGAAGTGTTCAGGTTCTGCAGATGGCAAGACCCAGAGTGTGACCATAGAATGGTTTGCTGAGGAGGCATGGAAGAAAATGTCTTTGAAGCAGCTCTGTTTTCCCCCCATTCTTTTTTTTTTTTTTTTTTTTTTGTCTTTTTCGTGACCGGTAGGGGGATCGCAACACTTGGTATGGTGTCACCTGCACCGCGTTCAGCCAGTGAGTGAACCGGCCACTCCTATATAGGATCTGAACCCGCGGCGGGAGCGTCGCTGCGCTCCCAGCGCCGCACTGTCCCGAGTGTGCCACGGGGTGGGCCCTTTCCCCCCATTCTGAAATGTTCTTCACCACCTCATTCTTCACTTGTCTGGCTCCTGGTCCTTCACTCCTCCACTTAAAATGCCACTTATCACTCTATCTAAGTTAAGTATCCCACTCCCACACAAAATTCTCATGACTTCCTGCTTTATCTTTCATGTCTCTTAGCACAATTTAAAATGATATATTTGCCTGCTCATGTGTGATATATTTGTCTGCTTCTCCGCTTGAATTTAAGCTCCCCATTTAGAGATTTTCTCTATTTTGTTACTTAGGACAACCGCCCTTCCTGCACTATTCGCCCTTCCCGTACTATTCTCTACCTGTCGTACGGGTCAGATTCTGTTAAATAAACCGATAATGCTAGGAGCTGGAATGGAGAGAGAGACTATGACCTGAAGTAGGTGAAGTGTGAAAGAGCAAATGATTGCCACTTGAAAGAGTTTCAGGGAACTTGGTGTCCCCAAGCAGGTTTAAGTAGTAAGGAGGAGATATATAGATAGATGTAGATATTAAAACTATGAGTTCTAATCTAACACCACAGAGTATACTCTGGCCCTTCCACTTTCCATATTTGTAACTCTCTTCTCCCATGGCAAGATACTTGGCTCCCGTTATGCCCAGTATATTTTTGCTCAAGCCCAGAATATACAAACAGTAGTTTCTAAATCACTAACCCACACCACTGCAAAAAACAATCCCACTAAGTAGAGTTTTCAGATTTAGTTTTGTTCTGGGAAGCAATTAAATTATCAGTGTCTCCTTTTTGGTCTTGTCATGCTTGGTTTTATTCTTTGTTACGGTGAGTCTACTTCAGTTTTGAACTTATTCCTAAGGTATGCCCTTTATTTTAGGTGTGGTCCTGATTCCTAAAGCACGGACTTTCTGGTGTCTTAGCTCAATGCCTGGAGTGCTCAGAGAGATTTCCCTGCTTTGTCAGAGTGAGAGATCTAGCGACACTCAGTCCAGCTGTAAGTGATCCCTGCTAGGTCACACGTGCTGCTCCACCCTTGGCCAAGGAACTACGAAGACCTCAACCCAACTCCTGGGACCACCTATTCCGCTCAATCACTTCTTCTCGGGAGTCCTGCCACACAAATTTTGTCCCTAGCAGTCACAGCCCAAAACTCTGATGGCTCCTCAGCTCACTCTGCTTCAACTCTATCTCTCTGCTTGCTGTGTAGTAGGAAAAATTTCTTCTCAGGAAGAAAGCCAAGGCGATTGTGGGGCTCACCTTGTGTGTTCCCCTTCTTGCAAGGATCACAGTTTTATGTAGGATCCGAACGCGCGGCAGCACCGCTGTGCTCCCAGCGCCGCACTCTCCCGAGTGAGCCATGGGGCCGGCAGGATCACAGTTTTATAATATCTGTAGTTCAATGCCTGAAAACATTTGCCTCATATATTTTGTTTGTTTAAACTTAAGAATGGCCCTCTTGGAGAGAGATTGACAACCCAACAGAAAAGAGTATGGCTCTGGAATCACACTCCAAACCAGGCTCAACCAGGCTCTGTGGCTTATTAGCAATGTAGTTATGGGAAAGTTATTGAACTTTCAGTTTCTTTATCCATAAAAGGGTCTGACAACATTTCACAGTCTATCGTTTTCTC